GCAGGGAACAGGTCAGGRAAGCTGTCCTTAAAATGCTTGCCACCAAGGAAAGCATCTGCTGATCCACAGCCCCCATCCACAGTTTGTGTACTTGAAGACTGTCTAGAAGAAGGTGCAGTGCTGGCAAATTACTTTAATTACTTTCATAGCTTGTTGGGAACCAAATTAAGAAGTAGGAAACCAAACTCCTATGGTGGTTCTTTARTTTCTAGAAAACTTTGACCAAGAAATTTCTGTGGTGAGCCTCGAGGTCCTTGAAAACATAAGAGAAGCTCTCCCTTTAAATAAGCATTCTGGCCAAGCAGCCTGGAGGTTTCCTCACATATTTTGGAGACAAATGGGTTTATATTTTGTGCCATGGCTCTGAAATTGTGTCTGCAGCTGAGTTAGCTTGTGGAAGTGGCCTCAGGCTTGTGTGTGCAAAGTCTGGTATCACAACCAGGTATCACAAGTGGAAACTCTCTGTTCAGAGAATATCATGCTTATTCTTTGTAAAACTGGCAGCTCCACCTCTGCAGTCTGCCAGCCCCTGAAGGATGTCAAAGAGCAGATGCAGCACACATAATAAAGTCTTTCCTATCAGAAGAAAGGAACAGAAGGATCCTGGTTGCCTTCAGGGCAATATAGCAGCAAACATTTTAGTTTGATGGGTAATCTTTCTTGTGTTGTGGGTCATCTTTCATTCATGCAAGGTTTTACTAGCCTGAGATATGGCACTTTTCTTTTTCTCTCCTGCTTTGAGCACTGCTATATATGATAACTTGTACATTAGAAGATGCCTACTGGATTAAGATGCACTTTCATTTGTGAAGTTTGCAATTTCAATTTCCTCCTTCCTGCCTTTTGGCTTCCTTCTGTTTTCTTTAACATTTGTGTGTCTGGATACAAACCTGTACAAGAAAAGTTTGCCATGCTTTAGTTGCATGGTGTTACCGTACTTTCATCTCATCTCCCCGAATGGATCCATGTGATATTTGACCTTCCTAGTGCACTGTACTCTGCTTTTAATCTTTAGGCCTCTGTCCAGCCCTGAGTTTCAAAGTATAGTGCCAGCACCATATTAACCAGAGCTCATTAGCACACGTCAGTCCAGGACAGTCGGGGCAGTATATATGCCAACAGCAATGCTCAGGTGAAACATGTGGTCATTGTGATAAGATGACCTTAGCAATAAGGCTAAGTTGTGAGTCCAGGCTGTCACTATGAATTTGCCTTGATCATACACATACTGGCTTGCTGAAGATAAGCTTGAGGGACTGTCACTTCAAGAGCGTTTTTTGGTTGGGCCCTGGGAGGTGCTCCTCACGTCCCATGTCCGTTCCCATCCCTGACCTCCATCTGCCTGGTCCCAGCCCCATGGTGCTGCAGCGGTGCTGGCTTGAGCCCCACTTCTGCCTTATCTGACCCCCATCCTCACACTGAACCCTGCCCCATGGTGATACCAATGCCCCATGGGGCTTTGCTCCCTAAGGACAGTGAGTCAGGACCTGGTGGTCAGGACCCAGCCAGTCCCATCTGAAATCCCTGCTGATAGTAGGGCCCAGTCACAGTGAGCTCCCAGGTCCTCAGCTCCCTGACACCTTCATAGGGAATGGCTTTTAAGCAAATTTGCCAGGCCACAGCAAAGCCATGTGAGTGTGATTTTGCCAGTCCCACAGAGAAGGCTCCTGAGAGAAGCAGCCTGAGGATATGTGGTGTGGGCTGTGTGAACTATCAGGGGCATGGGTGAATGCTCTTCCGGATAGATGTCTCAGTATTTAAGTTCATAAGAAGTATTGTCTGGGTCATTATCAACTGTCCCGCGGACCATCACAGCTTTTGGTCTGGCCCCYACTGGTGAATTGTGGGTTGGTGGCCTCCTACACTGAAGAAGGGGAGGCATTTCAGCTCTGAGACTAGGCGATGGCAAGACCAAGTAATTCTGAGTTATGTGCCACAGGCTGGGTTTGGTGGCCTTGGTCTCAGTAGAAGCAGATTTGGAAGCTGTATGAGAGTACCTGGCATTACAAAAGCTAGTATGTGGCTCTCCTGGTCCATTATCTGGGCAAACTATAGCTGCAGAATATGCAAGTATTTCACAGATGATGAAATGATGACTGAGGAGATGCAATTTTTAAGCTGCTTTCCTTGAAACTTCTGGAACTTGCAAGAACAGCAGTGATTTGTGGGAGATTGTTCCAATTCAGACCATGGCATTAGAAAACCTCTAGGTACGCAACACAGAAATATCTGAGCCAAGCTAACATGTTCCTAATACAGCAAGCATATAAGATATGAAAAGCAGTTGATTCTGGATAAGTCACCAATGATCCACTTCACTGAAGGACCWTGCTGGAGTCACAATTTGGGTAGTATGTATAGCTATAAAGGAAACATTCAGCTCACAACCTAAAGGAGGTAGATACTCAAGTTGTCATCAGTACATGGATGGGATTGGATCCCATCAGTCTGGATGGGATGTCCATCCAGACATGGATGGGATTTTGCAAAAGTTTTGGGGGTTATACATTGACCACACTGTTTTATCCTCTTTCCACCAGCTGCATGCAAGAGTTACTTCAAGAGAAACGTGCTCYTCTTGGAAATATTATTGAGCATCACAGCGATCCCTGTGGCCAGGGGCCTGGTGGAGTGCCTTGTGCTTAGGTTTCATCAAGTGAATTAGAAATTTAAGACTGCAGATAGGGATATTGTTCTAGCTACCTGCCCCTTGCAAGTCAGTGTGGTGACCCTACCCATTTCCATCCCTCCCCTTCTTAATAGAGAATTTAGCTCACCTCTTGCTGTGATGACTTATGCTTGCTATATACAAAGACCACTGATTGTTCCCGGGAATTAGTTGGCTGCTGCCTAAACAATTTTACATTGAATCAAYGATCATGCTTTGGGCTGCTTGAAAGCTGGATGGAGAGCCTTTGTGGGCTGACTGGTTGAGACTGACATGCACTTCCTTGCTGGGATTCTGGCTGCTTCCTGAGTCCTGCACAGTGTCTGTGATCCAAGACAGAGAGCTGGAATTAAGGAGTTAGAAGAGGTTATCTAGAGACTCAGTGATAAGGGCACAGTTAGCTGCTGAAATGAAAAAGAGCCACAGAAAGACTTGAGATTTCTGCTAAGAGTAGTGTGGATGTAATAAAATCACTTATAAGAAGCAATAAAATGATGGGATATATGAGGTGGCAGATCCTGTTTTCTATTCCCTGCTGTCTCTTTTTTCTTACATCCTTCATGACAAAGCTGACAAGGCCACTTCTCCACTCAGAGGAACATGTCATTCGAGAAGAACATGTCTTTGGTAACAGGAACAGAATTTTGATTAAACTCCTGTTTTATTGAAGTTGCCACRTGTGTAGGATGATAAGAGGAATGCAAAAATAAACCTGTGAAGTTGTCAAATGCTGCACAGTATGTATCACTAATTGTATTAAAAYCAAAGCCTCAGGAAGGAGAACTCATCTTCACTGCTCCTGGGTGTCCAAACACATGGGATCATTTGACAAKATTTCTCCAGTGTGTGAAAAAGCTGCAAGGCAACTCATGTACAGTTAGTCCTTTTGCTTACCAGAGACCTCTATGCCGAGGCGTGCAGAAACAGCTTGTCACACGCTCCCCATTGCTCCAAATTAAGGGTAATCTCTGAATGTATAAAATATGCCTTGAATGAGACCCTGGGATGCCCTGCTGGAATATCCATATTGTGGTATGGGAGTGAAGGAGGGCTAAGAAGTGAGAATATGAGAGGAGAAGGCCATTGAAAGGCCGGTTGCTAGAGGGTACAAACAAAACCAAGTAGTACTTCTCAGTGATTGCTTGTGCTCAGACTGTGTAGCACTATAGGCTCTTAGCCCTATTGTCATCTCCAATGGCTTGAAGGACCAAGCATTGCCTCTCTACAAATGCAGAAGGGCAACAGTTTCTGCTGATGATAGGTGTTGCTTCTTTGCAAACTGCCAAGGACCTCACTGGAGAAGAGCCACAGCAGCTGAGATTGTGACCACTGTGCATGTCGGCATGTTTCTTTACAGCTTGTGAGCAAAATACATGCTGAATTGTGTTAGCATGACTTTATATATAGAAACCACCGATAGTATGTGTTTGTCCACCTGCCTGGTTGACACTACCCAGGGATCAGGCCCAGCTCTTCATGCCTGCAGAAAACCTTAGGGAGATATGGACTGGTCCAAGAAGACCTGCATGTTCTCCCAAATCTACTTGAGTCTTTTCATTTTTCTTGGACTATTGGGACTTGTCATTGCATGTGGTCTTGGATAGGTGGAAGTAATATTCAAGTATATTTAGGACAAAGTACAAACTTAGTGACTTTAGATGGGAAGCTTTGCTCTGTATGTGGTACTAGAGCTTACTGAAATGTCATCTTTGAATGACTGCTTTCCAAAATAATCGATCCTGCTCTGGTTTTTATTTCTCGGCTTCATAGAAAGTTTGCAAATTCACTGAAAATTAGATGGGCTGATTAGAAAAGAATTTGATGAAATAATACAATGCATTAAAGAAACTGCCAGGGGACCRGTGTTTCTGACTGCCTGGTCAAATAGTGGATATGTTAACACATAAAATAATTTTATTCCAAAATGAATGGTTTGAATGCTGTTGATTTTCCTCCTGGATTGTGTAGTAAAACAAGTCTTTTTTTGGACGATAGTAATGTATATGTATGAAACTTACCTACCTTTTTCTTCTGTGAGGTTTAGAATGTGTTCTACTGATATATAGCAAAAGCAGCAGCTTCTCTGGGCTGCCCTTTCAGTTCTCAGTTGTTCATGTTCTAGGCAAACAGCCCCAGCTTAATTATTTTTATTGTCATTTGTGCAGAGGGACTTTTTTCATCTATTTACTCAGTGTAGCATAAACCTAGTGACTGAAAAATGCAATAATTTCTTTTTGATTCTGTTATAATGTGTTTTCAGGAGCTCCCTTGTTATTTTCTTCTTCTTGAACACATAAGAATTTTTGAATTTCTTTGTTTCTTGATCTTGTAGACTCAGCTCTTTGGAGTTTTACTGGCTGCTGTTGGAAATTTTCTGATTAGTGTGTCTTTGAATATACAGGTATGAAATTATTTCTTTTTATTTTGAATTGTATTTAACAAATAGCATATGTTATATTTAGATTTTACAAAGAGGTTCAAAATACAGTTTCTATTGCATTTTATAAAAATTCTCTTTTTCTTCAGCTAGAGTCTTCCTATATTTTTTAGCTTTTTAGCTGTTCTCAACCTTTTGACAACAATAAAAAGTCATAACTAATCCTCCTCCCTGTAATCCATCATAAGGAAATACCAGCTGTGATCTGCTTATGGTCCCACAGGAACCTGTCATCATCACCTGAACCTGTCTTTTTCTGTGGAAATCTAAAATGGAATTGACCACAAATGCTTAAGGACTGTTTAGTAAAATAATTAATGTAAATAATTGCACACAGACATCTAACTGCTTGTAGTGGTGGGCCCCAAAACAACTTAGACCAACTAAATTTGCCTTGAACAAATAGGATAATGATGTGAATTTTAAATCAAAAAAGTAATAATAAAATAATAATAAATAACAATAATAAATACATAATAAAGTAATAATAAATAATAAATATAATAAAATAATTTCTGCACTAGTAATTTGAAAACATATTCACTGAAATGTTAAATAATTCATTCTAATCTTGTAGCCTTCATGGTATTTTTATGTCTTCTAATACAAGTTCTTAAAGTACAGAAGACTTTTTGTATTAGTTGTACAAATAATATTTTTGCTAACTTGAATTTTATATGTTAACTATCTTTTTTATTTAAGATGACTCTTTCTTTAAAGGATGAAACAGAAAGCTGTGAAATATTAAATCTTACATAGTTATTTTATTATAAGCTATTATAAGTTATAACTTACATAGTAAGTTATTTTATTAAAACAGGAAACTTTTGCAACAGTCCCTTTCTATTTTAAGTATCTCTGGYTGGAGAGTCCCCCAGAAAACAGAATCTGTTCAGCTGGAGATGTCAAGCAGATTGAAATAATTTCTGCCTCTCCAGTATTAGTGCTGATCTGTGATTAGTTGCTGAAGGCAACAATTGTAGGAGAGGCTCTGTTTCAATGGAAAAAACTTGGGTTGATGAAGTGGAAATTCAGTCTAGCCCATAATGAGGAGGTAATTCAGACACCATGTCTTTGTCTGCGGAGGGCACTGAGTGCCAAAGTGGCTGTTTTGCATGGGGGAGGTACTCAAGCATGCAAACTGACTGCTAATTAACTTGCAATCATTAACAGCATTTACCGGATTTGAACTCTTTTAACTTTAAAATGTTACACATGCTTTTAAGGAAAATCCAATATATCTGCATTGCCCATTGAAAGTTTTAACTGGCGCTTTTATTTATTCCTCCAAGCTGGTTTTTTTACTCCCTTTATTAATTAAATAAGTTATTTATGGAACTGAAAAATTATCTCTTTATACCTCAACAGTTATTTTCATGGATAGGCCAAAGTATATTGCTCTCTCCCCTTTCTGCTMTGCAAATGTCCTCTGATATCATATATCTTTTCAATCACAGTCTTCCTATATGATTCTGGGGGATAAACTKGAGCTCAGAATTCAGTTAAGAATTAATTTATCTTCATTGTTTTTCAGCAGAAGCCAAGATTCTTGATTTAAGATTTTTACTTAATATTAAGTTCAATGATATTTTTATTATTGTTGTTGTTGTTGTTGTTTGTTTGTTTGTTTATAAAGATGAAACATGCAAAATCCCAGATATTACTGAATTTCTGACCTGTGGCTAAGGGAAGTTGAATTTTTCTCACACTCACTTTCTCCTTGAAGGGCTAAACTTCTGAAAACTTCATCCCTTGAGCACRCACCATAGCATGAAGCTGCACTAACATGCTTCATCCTCTCCACAAGAGACTATGGTACCGCACAGATGATATTCTTTGGCCCATAAATGTAGCTTACAGAGTAGTGTGTGCAAGGAAAATGATTTGTAGCTTCTCTGGAGCTCTGCAGGGGCACTTCCAAAACCAAATATCCGATATGAAGGAAAAAATGTATTTTATAGCCATCTACACTATAGTAACATTGTATCATTTGGTTTCCAACCTTTTATTTTGAAGCATTTCCATGCTTTCAGCAGCAGAGAAGCTGATGAGGAATTTGAGCAGGGAAATTACATTCAGCAGAACTAATGTGATAAACAACCCTCCCATTGCCTTCCTGATGATGACATCCTGGACACTCTTTCAGAAGACCAATATGTTCAAATTATCCTGTTATATACAGATTCTTGCTGTACAAGAGAGAAAAAAATTAAAATGTGTAAATACCTTACCCATGTAACAGAAGTGTTGATGAAATATTGGTTGAGCATATACTGTTGACACAGGTATCGCTAGTTTCCCTTCTGAAAATAATATTTTACCTGAGGCCTTCTAAGGCCAGAGAGGTGACTGTGTCCAAGACTTAAGTTCTGCGCAGCAAATTTAGAGTCCTCCCAACTATAGCCGTGGTAACTTGCTGGCTTTTTCATCTTGAAATCTTGTTTCTAAACAGAAAATGCACCAGGAAGCAGGAACACAGCACTGCCTGGTCACCTACTCCTGGCATGTTACTGCCCTTCTGCTCCTGCCCCATCTCCTCACTTTGAGTGTTTCCAGAGTCACAGGACAACCTACTAAGGGATCTGTGAAATTAGAGCAGAAGTTTGTCGTGGTAGCTAGGAACAATGAATATTCACTTAATACTTCCCGGGTTTATTCAGAAGTCTAGTTTTCCAGAAATTTAAAGCAGGGCTGTGAAAACACAAAGCTGAGGCAATGCTAGGTTTACACAAAGCCTATTTTTTTTTACACAAAGCCAAAGTATGTCTGTAACATCATGCTGAAAGGCGTGCTCTAAAAGAAAACCTTGACGCACCTGGAATTTGGACTTGACAGCCCCCTAATTACCCCACTTTTGTTATGCATAAGAACACAATGGAAGTCTTTCTCTTCATGTCTGTTCCTAACAATTAATTTTCTAGAAATGTGCTCACCTGCGACTGGCTTGCCAGACAGATCCAAAGCCCTGCTACAAAAGCAAGCTATGGTGGTGTGGGATTATCCTCCTGGGGCTTGGAGAGGTGGGGAATTTCACAGCCTATGGATTTGCCCCCGCTGCCCTTGTCGCTCCACTAGGATGTGTATCTGTCATAGGTGAGATGGTTTGCCTCATTTTGCTTGGTTGTTTGCTGTAATCAAATGCTAGTTTGTTATCTAAGAAAGAGTACCAGAGGGACTGCAGCAGAAACACAGGAGAAAAAAATCCTTATGGTTTGAAAAGAAATGATTCATATAATTATATAGCCTGTCAGTCAAACACAAACTCTCTGGTTAACTTGGAGACCTTCCAATATCTGCATTTTGRTATAATTTTGTCTTTTGTGGCCTCTGGTGTGCCAGTTCCTGCAAGTTGTTCTGCTGCCAACCAACGCCACCATGTGAACATCRTAGTCCTGCAGGCCCACAAGATGGGCCCAAGCCCTGACAGCTCTGCAAGGCTCTGCTCTGCACCCAAGAGCTGACAATGATGCTCTTTCTGATTCTGATGCTGTTTCGGATGCTATTGTCACTCCAGGCAGTCTCTCCAGCTCTCCCTTGCTCCTCTCCATGCCTTGTGTTGACTCAGGCCAGCTGCATTGTCTCTGTCCTCTCACTGCTGATGGTGTCCATGCTGACCAGCACACCTGGKTCCCCACACTGCAGCCACTTCTGCAGAGAAATGCCTCTTAGCAGAGCTGCAGAAATTTTTATTTCGTTAAATCACTGTCTTCTTCATGTTATTTTATAGGAGGATTTTATGAACAAATAATCGATTCTGCTACTTCAGGCAGCAGCATGTGATTGGAAGGACCTAGAAATTTTCTGAATTTTTTGGTTTATTTATGGACATTATGGACAACAACCAAGTTGTTCCCTTGTTCCATTGCCTACATCTTACRGATCAGCTGGTCTTCACTATAGTTATTTCTGTGTTTATAAGCTATTCCTATATCTAGAGCTTACCTGATGTCATCTTACTCTTCACTACATGTTACTAGAACAAATTTATTTACAGCTCTGTAAATAAAAACAGACATGATGTCTGTTTTTTTGATGGAGAAACACATTTTAAAATATATTATCTTCTTGTGCCAATAACAAAACAGTGCACGGGGCAGTATTGTTTAGAACTGTGAAAATAAGAATTCAGTGTGCAGCTGTGACCCTTAATTCTAGCACCTCACATCCRAAATGGAAACATCCAGGGCTGAGATA